TCACAGCTAAAAGCTAGTGCATAATAAAGTCCCTTTAAATAGGTAATAAGAACTCTTTATGTAACTTTAGACATAGTAAACATTTTAATTTATATAGGTTAATTTTTATTTTATTTTGTTTAATTTTTTATAATTATTATTACCTAATATAAAAACAGTGCACGAGCCGGCGAGCGTCCTTAATACATTTGAGAATCATGAACCGTAACAATATACCTAAGCAGAACGTAATTAATGTGTTAAACAGAAATTATAAGAAACTAGCTTAGCTACTTCGTACATATTTGGATTTCAGAAGCAAGAAAGGATTTTAAAGAAATAAATAAATAGACCACCTGTAAATGTCGTATCAAGATATTAACATACACCAGTTTTTAAGTTAGAGCTTCAGCACAACTGTGACAACTGCATCCAGTTTTGGTGCAGTAGTTTTTTGTGTAATTCCGCAATAAACATACAGAAAGACAGTCAAATAGAATTTCTAAAGATTCCGGCTTCTATTGCTCTTATAAGATTGTTCTCAGCAATAAGACCGCCTTACTGTACTTATACAATCGTATCGTTGTGTTTGTAAATTGCCTTACTTATTTCCTATATTGTATAACGCAAATAAAGGATACTCATACATTCATTCATTCTTATTAAGGTTTCTCATATATTTTTTTAAATGTCTTTCATGTAGAGGAATTGTCTAGTTATAATTTTATTACATAAGTAAGAATTACGAAAGAGATTTATCGAGCAAGAATGAACGGAGATGTCGGTAGGGGCCGCCCTAGATGGACGTATGTTGACCAAATAGACGACGTGCTGAAGAAGAGCCAAATTAAAAGTACTCGTAACCGGCGAGCATGTATGAAAAGATTGATGAATGTGGAAGATGCGAAAGAGGTTTGTTTGAATCGAAGCATTTGGCGTTCCATTGTTTCTGCCTACCCTAATGGGAGACAGGCGTGACAGATATGTAACATATGTATGTACATAAGTAAGATATAAAAATACAGGCACTGCCAAAAGGGACTTGCTTTTGATTTAATATATTAAAGATGACCAAAAACCTATACCTATTAAAATTTTTAATAAGAAGTGACTGTATCTTGTATATACATGTGACTTTATCCGTGAGACAAGGAAATATTAATCTACAACAAACAAGATAAAAAACTAGCCTAGCAATGTCAAATTCAAATCGTCTTTATTTAAATAGACTTGTTTACAAGCAATTTTAAATCGTAATTGATTAAGGAAACTTAATGGTTGAAGGATGGGCAGCAGCGTCCCTATTAAAACATCAACAAAGCCTAACTGCAATTGCCATCCCGTCTGCCAAGCGTGGCAACTACTGGTAAACCCCCACTATATGGTGGATGCCTATGTTTAGCAGTAAGCAGTTAACGGCAGATATGATGATGATGACGATAGTTTATTTATGGTGCAATAAAGAGTTAAATAAATAAATAATAGTCTCAAACTTAAAAGTTTATAGTGGGGATACCTACTAGACAACTAATTAACGTAGTTAATTTTTTTTTTAACTTTGTAAAATTACTAAGAAGAAAATCTTTCTCTCATACTACGAGTGAGATGACGTCACAGGCAATAAACTTCAGCAGTTATCTTCCATTGAAACTGAAAGTAGACCCCAGTAGACAAGCCGCTCTGTCATTTCATAAATTAACATCATTAATTGGCCACGTATCCTTGATTGACAGTATTTATATGGAATCCCACCGACACAATGTCGTGCTAAACTCGTTTTTAATGTCAAACTTGTAAGTATAAATACTTTGTGCTCATCAATCTGATATAGGCAACATTTGAATGACCAAAGAAGACTTATAGATGCAAGGTTTTTAGTCGAATCACTTTAGAATAGCACTACAAATTAGGCATGGGTAATATGGATACCATAAAAATATAAAAATAAAAGAAAATGAATTAATAAAAGTAATAAATAATAAAATAAAATTAAATGTTCGAAAGCATATAAATAAAAAAATATCGCCAAATAAACATACTATCTGCCGCATCGACTCTTAATATATTCATGAAAATAAGCCATTTTTTAGAGGAACGAATCTTTCAATTATTGATATGTATGTATAGTTGTGTCAAATCTAGTATCTGTTTGGCTCTAGTAAATCTACAGTTCACCTACTTCAAACAACGTATGTAGACATTTAAAAGCACTATGTAACATTAGTCCTTTTGTAAGAACACATACCCAAGACCCGTTTGTAGGTTAACGCCAATCTACGAGTAGGTCTAGCCTTGGTTTACACGTGTGACTGGCTTACAAGAGCCACCCCTCTCAGACTTTCAGACAAATTAGTTACTAGTATAACGTTTGTTTCGCATAAACCAGTTATGTAAATATTATAGATATACGAAACTCGTCAACGATTAGTACTAAAACTGAACAACTTTCCCTAATAAATATGTAGTGAAATAGGCACCTGTCTCGAAAATAATTTTCAAACTTTTCATCACTAATAGATTATTATCGATCCCCTGAGTATGAATCTAATATGAAATACTTAAAATATATTTAGATATGCTAGGTGTATACTATTTAATCTAGAGCATTGAGTCTCAAAAACTTTTTGTTAGCTAATAGTCAAACTAGTCGACTCCTTTTTTTTTTTGCAGTGTTCTATATACTTACGCACATAATATATCTTGACGTATCTATATTTAATTATTTAATAAATGAAATGGGCTTTTACGCATTAAAAAGTTGCAAGTTATAAAAGAAACACTCCTAACTATTTATCACGCTATATTGTATGAAAATGTTGATTCTATCTTTATAATTTAAGTATTTAATATTATAAAAAAATAAGTTTGTAAAGATATTTGTACGCTACTCAATCATATTTTAACGGCTGAACAGATTTAAATTAAATTTAGTACACGTGTCGTATTATATCAAATTATATCGTAACATTAGGATGATTTATATAAATGATTCACGTGGTAAAAGTCGCAGAAAACTGCTAGTGTGGCTTTAAATTAATCATTGCAACTATGCAGTTAATGTGTTCAATTAAGTGTGAAAAATTAAAAAATAAATATTTTGCTGAATTAGGTTTTACTTTCCGGAAGTTCATATCACTGGTTATTTCATTAGAATTTTGTTTAATTCCGCTACCATTAATTTTATTTTATTTATTTATTCATTAGTACAAATATGTGTATATGGCGGACTTAATGCGAAAAGCATTCTCTCCCAGTCAACCATAGGGAAGTATCAGAATACTCGAATGCGGTACTACTAATTATTGATATACATATATACTAAAATTACATACATAAACGAATAAATATATATGAATAACAAATATACTTACACATATATGACATATACTATATTATACATAATAACTGTGTGACTGCAATAGTTGTGGGCAATCTTTGAGTATTGGCAATCAATTAAAATCAATATAAATTAATTTAATAGTATTTTAATACCTACTTCATCTCATATTTCTTGGATGCATTCCAAGAAATATGGGATCTACTCCAAGAAAAAATGGGCTAAAATAGGACAGGTATCAAACCTAATACGTACATGGAGTGATTTCAAAATTTTTCTTATTAGTACAGAGAATGGTAAACAAGTTGATAAAGTGGTTAAACCACTACGGTTACCAATTTCCGTCAGATACATACCTATGTCTAATATTGAATGGTAACTGTCAATAAGTATATCTAGACGTGAAATATAAACATGAACATCACCAAATGTAGTAACTGATGGCCTCATAATCATCAAAACTTAATAAGCTGAATAAAACGTGCCAAATTCTAAAATTAGTTACCGAATTATGTTTTTATGTCTTGAAGGTAGTTATAAACTTTACTAACTGAAATAGCTATTGTGAGGCACTAATGCACTCAAAATGCATTATTAGAAAATACCTAAGTACCTACTTAATTACCTACCTTGGTTTCCCACACCTTTTCGCAATAACTAAACTTTGAATACTATCAATAGAAACGCCAAAATTGCATCACAAAGCGCGCAACTTTGTCCTATATACGCAACGATATATTTATTTTAGCCCTGTAGGTAATAAGGGAATAACATTAATTACCTACCTCTTGTAATAGAGGGAAGATATTGTAATGGAGACTATTGCTAGCAATATACTCTAACAGGCTGACTGTCATACGATCCCCCTGGAAACCGTCCTAGTCAATTCCCCATGAATTCGTAACGTTGGGCTAATTTACCTACTATCCCTCACTAGTTCCCCGTCAAACTAATTATACTGATAGCGCAGGAGTAACTATTCCATTTTCACCACGTTACAAAAACCTACATATTATATCACTACTGCCTAAGTTGATGCGCTTACATGACTGAACTTCTATTTGAATGATAGGATATACCGGTTCAGAGGCATAAAATGACAAATTACTATCTTGGGGAATAGCAATACATTAGCCGTAACATGCATGGAAGTTACTTCTATAAGCGACAGTTATCACTTTTCATCAGGTGGGCCGTTAGGTTGTTTGTCATTTCAAGTTGCAAAAACCTCTGCATTATAAACCACATACAATACATAGGGACCCCAGAGTGGTGTATTGAACACGAACGGGTGTAAGGTTTCTTGCAATTAAACTCGGATGTTCTGAACATCTGTGCATTTGGATACGCGACGTGATAAACTAAATAATCCTAAAATTCTCCCAAAATATCTAAAAAAAAATGACCCGAGACATGAAGAAAGGTAAAAGCCTTTTGTTTTATTTAATTATGTGAGAAATCTAATGGTCTGTTAATCTTAAAAAATTTACAGCTTATCGTTCATCAATAAACTTGAATTGCATCCGGTTATTTTTCTGTTCTATAAAGAATATATTTATAGGTTTTATTATTTTTCACCAATTATGATACATTGAAAAATTAGCAACGGACAAAAGCCGTAATCGTTCAACAGGACATCTGAAGGTTCCAATATTATCCAATTCAAAACTGTACTCAGACTCACCTTATCACCAAACTTGAAGAAAATCAGGCTTTTGTACACGCAACAGTCTCGGCACTCACAAAAGCTGGCCAAACACTGAATACTTATATCACTAAGTCAGTTTCTATAACACGAGCTCCTTTTTGTTTGAATAATTATTTTTGTTTGACGATAAGACCGGACGACTCAAGTTTCGAACCGGCGTCTCGCGCACGACAGAGCACCGCGTGCAATTCAATGGATGAAAGTGTAAACGGTGGTTTTTGTATAGCGTTCTCTCGCTTCTTCAAACACGACAGAAAAGGATCGAAAGCTGAGCGTCAAGTTTGGCTTTTTGACTCTCGAGTGGCCACTTCGCCCACTACTTTATTGTTATTCTAATTTCCAATATCTCGAGCCGATATACAATACATCACTAAAAATCTAGAAAATACAGAACTACCTTAGGATGTTTTAAAGGAATATTTTTTGGGACAAAAAGGGTTATAGAAAAAAAACTCCATAATGTGGATTGTTTACTTTATTTCTTCCCACAGGTGGCAAGAACCAGAGTAGTGAGCACAACCTAAATTATGAAAATGGTAACTATTTTCAGGGATAACCACTTCTATTAAAACAAGGATTATAATTTCAAATAGAATTATACAATAGCTATCAATAGGAAAATTCATCTAATAGTAAGATAACAATGAAGAAACCAAATGGATACATTTGACTTTGCAATGTGCAATTACACTTTAATAACAATAGAGGAAAATGTATTAGATAGCAGTGAATATTATAAACAGCGTTAGCAAAAATAAGACGTGAAATCCCTTATGAACTGCTCCTACCCCGGCCTATAACATATTTTTAGCTCTAATCGTTTTAGGTAAGAAATTTCAAACAAAAAAAGAATATATATATTTTGATATGATGTGTAAACAAATACGCATGTAACCAAGGGCACAGTTAGCAATCGGTTACAAGCCGACTTGTTTCTCGAGGAGAGCATGACAATATTTAGAATTTCAATATACAACTACATGCAATATTTGTAATTTTGTCATTACATTTTGATATATCAAACGTGTGCTTGTTTAGCTACGTGTTCAAAAGGTTTCTTGGAAAAATGCTTTGCTCTCTTCTCGACATTAATTTCATAAAATAATCAACAGACTGTGAAAGGTGTAAATATTCAAATAGGTACCAATATTACTGAGCTAAAAGCTCCTTCGCCAAGAATCTGGTGGCTTAAAGTTAGATTGCGATTTTAGGGACCTATACGACCTTTAAAAACACTCGCTCGCCGTTACTGCAATATAGTATTTCCCCATACAGAAATCATGCGAATGCTTTTAAAGATTTTACAACGATATCAATACATCTATTAAAATAAAATGATCTATTATGCTATTCAGGCAGATTAAATACATTCTAATAGATTTATCGATAACGAAAGCTAAGTTTGCAACGGTTCGATCTCGCGTCAATACTACAGTCCCCATGTAAATAACCATTGCAAACCACAATTGCACTCGACCGACTGTCGAATACATATCCATAGATGATCCGGATGTATAGATAATCAAGTGCATAGGCACATTACATTAGATTGAATCATAATCAAATATAATATTATATGCAAACTTGTATCTAATGATTTTTATATTATTATATTTTTTTTTTATTTTTATAATTTTTTTTTCGAGGTATCCTTTATCGAATATCGTTAATGGAATAAGTACAATATAATATGAACTTATGAGAGTATAAAATGAAAAATATTACCGTGACACTCAAAATAATGAACGTGAATTAATTAGTTGACAAAAGTTAAAAAATACCCAACCATATATAACGATAAAACTTTAGACATTAATAAATGATCGCTTCAATATCTGAAATAGTGTGACAATAAGATGGTTACATAAATCTATGAATGCAGTTACAAATCGTATTCTATACTTAAATTTCTGTTTATTCATGGTCATAAAACTGTCAGACGTTTAATTTTTAAATAAATGTTTAAAAAATAAATATAATGAATGTTACACGTATGTTCTGGTAAAATTTCCAGAGGTTATAAAATATTCAGTGGACTGTCAATGTATCCACTTCAGATACTGAAGTCAACGGAACTAACAAACATAATAAATATAAGAACTGAAATAGTCTATACATTAATTCACAATATAGTAAATATATACAATAACAGCCTTTCCGATGCAATGAATTTTTTTTGGTGATTTTTCCCTTTTCAGTTATTACAAACAGAAGTAAATCACACTACAGAAAAATAAATATATCAAACACGACACGTAAAATAGCAAAGTTTGCAAGAATATTAAAATTTTATAGGAAATTGTAACTAGGTAAGGCATTAAATGAAATAAATAAGGACATATGGGGTCTACCTCCTTAAACCAAGTACATTTAATTTTCTATTAGCGAAGTTCCAAGAACAAAAGTTCCAAATGTCAATTGCACACATGTCGAACTATTGAAGGTAATTTCGAACCTTCAATCCACTAGATATTATTATAACAAGTAGTGATACCTCACACAGTTGTATCGTACTTTAGGTGAATAAATTATTTCTTTTGTCCGACCGTAGGTTTAGCGATAACACTAATAGAAATGTACTTAGTCTATGGAGCGCTGTACAGAATGGCGATATTACGAGCACCGCAAAAGCGCCAAGCTGTACACATTCATCAATCGTAAAAACGATTTGACGGACCCCGCAAGAAATAAAAATATAACATATACATTTCTTATGCATTACATAAACTATAATAACAGTTACGCCTATATGAACTGTTACAATCCATATTAGGAGCTGTAAATTATATTACATCTCATTACAGTCACTGTTCACAGTTCTTGTGCTACAAGAAGTCGTAATGTTATATAGAACACGCGCTCACCGACAGCGACGACGGGACTTTAAACAGTGACTGTACATTTTCCTATCGAAGAGCACAATTACTACACGATTCATCACCCTCATCCGACACACGAGGGGGGGCAGCACTGGGCGCCCCCGGCTATCATTGTCCAACTTCATACAAAACTTGACACCTCGAACTACCACTAAACGGCTGAGCGGCGCGGTCTCCTCGACTGTGTCTTTGCGGCCACGGACGCCCGCCTTCCTACCATTATATTATGCGGCTATTCAATAAAATCGCCGCGTGTTAACTTACGACAAAATGGACAAACCATTGAAAACAAATCGTCCACCTGCCAACTATATAACACGATTTACAATCCGTAGACACATGAAGGCGCATCTCGACTGGTTTTGAACGGTGGCAAAGCTGCAACAGTGCCCACCTTATTGATATGGAACAATCTAGAATACCAAAAAGGTATGCACTACTGGCAAAGTGGAGATGCGCCCTTATCCATCTCCTCACGTCAATGCTTGTTTAATTTTATTTTTAACAGTAAACAAAAATCATTTTTATTTATATAAAATTTAGAATGAATTTAGATTGCCAAAAAAACATAAACGAAAAATACTAACAAAATAAAAAATACCTGCAATACCTACGCTTTACATTAACAAATTATTAAACAACTGGGGACGATATTATTGTAAGAATTATATTAGAATCGTCCAATATGTTTGTTATGAAATGCTACCTCTAGTTATATATACGTCAAAAGAATATGAATGTTTTATGAACACAATGCAAATTTAACATGGAAAGTCAAGAAAAAATCATAGAGTCCAATTCATAACAATTCCAATACTTCGCTCATCAATATCAATCAATTACGTACATTATACAATCTTTACCAAATATTTTGATATAATGCAGTAAGACGTAGCATTCCATCAAACATTTCTATCAATATGAAACCTCTACAAAGAAAACATTGAACTAAAATTAATGTTACATATATTCCTTTCAACAATATCTACAATCATAAGATATGTTAGCAATTTATAACCTTCACGTGAACGTTGCCGATGCAACCAGGAAAACATAACTCCAAGGCTTCGCTAATTAAACCTATTTATTATTGCTAACTTTTTCATTCTAATGCCACTTGAAAGAGTAAAATAGAGCCATGAAATTATAATAAAATTTCAAGCGTATTCATGGCGGCATTTCGTGTTGAAATTCTAGAATATAATAATAATAATATATAATTTTCGTTTTTACTACATTTTATAATATAATCGATGAAAAAGGAGCGAAAATATACAGATTGCCTGATATCACGGTAAAGAAAACAAAACTGAATCACCTTGACACAGTATTTACGTAACAATTACCGTAGTTCCATGAAATTGGAAGGTTGTTAGATTTCGTTTATTAATGTGTACAAACATTGTATCCCAAACGAACAATAGTGGCGCTCAATTATTACGTACTGTGTCAATATGATCAATTAGTGTTTAGGGCCCACACAGATTGAGATCACCAGCAATTGCTAGTTTATCCTAATCTGTTTCACCTGACAATGAATTAAAACCGAATCTATCATAAATTAATTGATATTTAGTATGATTTCTGAATAAAGAATGTGGAGCACGCTGCTGAGACATCAATAGTACATTGTTAGTAATCTGTAACTTTCACATAAAAAAATGAAAACCGTCAATAAAAATTATTAATATAAAACAAACAGACCAAGATGAATTAGCAACAAAATGTTACTGTAGGCGACTCAATTATAAAACATTAATAGAAACAAAACTAAGCATGCAGTTCTGTTTTTGCTACTACCAAATGTCTCAGTAATCGCATCCACGAGTATTATTGCCTGATGGCATAAATAACAAAATAATACAATTAGAAAATTATGAATAATGAATAAACTCCGAATATCCGCAACGTGCAATAACGTGTTTCGGCGGTCAGCGAGTGAGCGGCCGGTGCATGGCAGCCGAGCAACATCGCAGGAAACGAGCGTGCGGGTGCGAGCACGCCGCCATACAACGAAGCGCCGCGCTATGCCGTCGCTTACGGCACTCCGCCGTGCTCACCATGGTCTCCTCGCCCGCCTCAGCTTCCGCGCCCGCGCCCGTTTCCACTCCGCTTATGTACTGCGCGTGCGCAGCGCTGATGTCTGACAGCAACTCCTCCCACTCGCGGCGCATCTCGTCGGGCGGCGGCGCGGCGGACGAGGGCGGCGGCCGGGCCACACAAGTGTCGCACGAGCCCGCCTCCCCCCAGATGCTCTCTATGTTTGAGCGCATCTTCTTCGCGGCTTGACCACATTCCTCGCATGCAGCCCACGCCTCGTCCGGCGGCCGGTCGGTCTGCACCGCCGCGTCCAGCTGCCGCATCGGGAAACGCAGCCGGAATCCGGGGTCGTCGAGGTCCGGGCAGCGTTGCGCGGCCGTCAGCTTCAGCCGCCCGTAATCGATGCCGTTCCCGGTGCGATACTCGAGGTACCGCTCGAGGGAGCTCGTCAAGTACATGCCCCCGGACTCGCTGCGGCTGAACTCGACCTCGTCGAGGTCGCCGCGAATGTCAAACGTGTCGCCGTCCGCGTAGCGCGCCGCCTCGGACTCTGCCTCGCGGCGGATGGGCTTGAAATGCGTACGGGACGATGTCAGCAAGTCCTCACGCGACGCGGACGCTCGTGGCGTGTCCTCTACGAGCTTCGTCTCAACGACGAGCGAGACGGTCTCGTTGCGAGGGTGCCGCCGGGGCGGCACCTCTACGAAGCCGCTCCGATCGCGGCTGTGATTGATAGCGGTGAAAGATCGCATCGATTTCGCTACGGCGGACAGTGCGTCGTATATCTCGTCGCCTTCGTAGAGCGAGAGCGATTCGAGCACGCGCGGCGGACAGGGCGGCGGCTCCGCGACATCGGCGAGATTGAGTGGCTTGAAACGATCATGCAACGCCTCGGCGATTTTCGTCGGAGATTCGGCACGGTCGAATATTATAGCATCTGTAGCATCATTAGACCATATGCTTTCGGTGAGAGATATCAGGCTGCACTTTTCGGCGGACGGATCGGCAAACAGATGATCGGAGGGGGACGAGAGGAGATCCTGAAAGTCGATTGGAAGATCTTGATACTCATCATCAGGAGTATTTTGGTCCTTTGACCACAAGGCTTCAATGCTACGATCAAACTTTGCTTCGAATTTCGCATACAGCTCTTCCTCCATCGGAGTTCTAACTCTTGGATTTAGATCTTCAGTGATAATCCAATCTGTATCAAAATCAAGACTGTCGTCCCAGTTTGGCACCATGTTTTCATTCATTCCCAGCTTAACTCCCGTTATCTCCTTAATTTCGTCAGTTACTGTATTTTCGCAAGTACCGTAACCTTCGTCTAATGCTATAGCTCTAATAAACTCCTTAACAGGATCTTGAGTTTCTATGTCCCAAACTCCCTCGTGAGTAACCCACTCAGGCAAGCTCTCTTTGCTTTCAAAGGACCTACTATAACTGTTGCAGCGTTTCTTGTTACCCTTTCTTTGACCGTGGTAGGAATTACGTCGCTCTTTACCCGAAGAAAACTTTTTATTTTTTGTGTTCCAATCTTTTGAAATTGATACTTCACTTTGCATTTTGACTAATTTATCTGGTGCTGACTTGCGACACCACGCTGGCGGCGGCAGATAATACTGCAGCGGAGACTCTTCACCTTTCTTCAGAGCCGGAAAGGCAGCGTAATATCGACGTACAGCCTCAGCTTGTTCTATAGAACACGTGGGCATACCTACTTGTGATGCACCTTCTTGATCTTTGATGTCTTTAAGTCTCGTACACAGCTGATCAACAATATTGTCAATATTAGGTTCCTGAAATGAAATATGGACACTATAAAAAAGATGAAATAAGGTTAATAACTCTCATATACAATGTGTTTAATTCTAGTTTTTATGCTATTTGAAATGGCAAACAAAAAAAAAACAATCTAATGAAATCTTAGTCCTTGTATTATGCTGCCCATAGCATCTCTCATGCATTGCCATTCTGGAGAACTAAAGTGTTATATGAAATTCTACAAATGTAAGTGGGAAATAAGGCTTAAATTTACAAATGGGATTTTCATTAATGGTGACATTTATTTAAAGTTGAAGTTGTTAAGGAATTACATTTGTTTTTGTAAGCAGCACTAACTTTTAAATTGAAATAAAACAAATCTAAATACCAATTTGCTAACTAAAATATTAATTAGCAGCCCGTCCTGGCTTCGCACAGGTGGACGTATTTACACTTTAAAAAGTGGCCATTAAGGCTGCATACGCAACGGAAGCTTAATAATGGAGTAACTTCTCTCGTTTTCCCAACATTTCCCTTCACTGCTTTGCTCCTATTGATCGTAGCATGATAGAATAGAATAGAATAGAAATCATTTATTCAAATAAACTTACATTGAAGCACTTTTGAAAAGTCATTACATTTTTTTTTAATTTACCGCTCGTTCGGAAAGCTGTCTCATCACAAGAAGAACGAGCAAGAAACTTGCGTGATGCTCTTTTAAATAATTTTATTATTATTTTACATTTTTACAAACCACCAATTAGCACTAATTCAATTAAATACTCAAAAAGAAAAAAAAAATTGAATACATAACCAACTGGTTAAACAATTAATAAGAGGAAATCAGTCATAGTGATTAGAGCAGACCAGTCCCTACAAGCAGCACCCGTTCACGAGTATGACGGATGAGCCAGCCATCACTGCGCTCGACCATATTTTAGGGAGCCCAATGACCCGGCCCACCACGCCGCCACAAGTCTGGACATTTTAGTGAGCATGACTACTCAAAACACTAGACCACGTCAAAGCTACTCACAATTGCCATCTGATAGTTATAGTATTCACATTTTACATAAGAATGCATGCGGCAATTAATACAAAAAACCGCTACGCTTTCATATTTCTAAAATTAATCAATTAAATCAAGAAAGCAATGAGAAAATAAAATTATAACGTTGTATGCTAATAAACTAATTATTTACTTGATATGTTGTCATCTATGAATTCGTCTATCCTGTAATAGGCTTTCTTACATAAAAATTGTTTAATATAAGATTTGAACTGCCTCTCTGTCAGATTTAATGCAGATTCCGGCAGTTTATTATAAAATCTTATGCAATTACCATAGAATGAATTACTGATTTTGTGCAGACGGCATTTAGGTAAAATAAGCTTATTTATATTGATGACAAGTATACTATAACCTGCCCAGGAGTATGAAGAATTGTACCAAGTTTCGTTAAAATCCATAGAGTAGTTTTTGTTTCTATAACGAACATACAGACAGACAGACAAAAATTTTACTGATTGCATTTTTGGCATCAGTATCGATCACTCATCAGCCTCTGATAGTTATTTTGGAAATATATTTCATATAAAGAATTGACTTCTCTACAGATTCTCTATAAATATAGATTAGATAGCATGGATATAAAAATAAAACAAGCCTTTGTTATATTTAAATGACAAATTATGACAATTATGTAAATCATGCACTATCTATAACTTAAATGTGTATAAATATAAATCCTCATAATACTGTGAATATAATAATTACATATGTAAATAGATTGTGTGAATACTGGGATAATAAAATAAAGGAAAACGGAATACATCCAAACTAGTGTGGCAACTAAAGGGGATATTAAAATAATATTGTTTGACTTTCATAGGCAACATTGGGACTCCCCCACAAACCACGGAATCTCATATTGTTTAATCATGGACAATAGCATCTCTATATATTTAAATAAACACAAGTTGTTTATCATACTCATGTTACAATTAATAATAATGTTGCCTATGAACTGTTATACTAAAAGACTGGAGACCGACCTTCTTATAAGGATTCTTATAATTGTTAATGGTCTTCATTTTAATATTTCCAATGTTACGGTCTCTTTCCAATGTAATTGAGCACTGCATATCCTCTTGAGATAGTAAAAAAATACAATTAGTCTCTATACACATCTCTGTCAATAACTATCTATTTGCTAACAAATTAAAAAGTGTTATTCTTCATGATTATATTATCATGAATTTGATGATAGCATTAGCTATCATTTACTCTAATAGGTACCTAACCTGCTTTTATCAGACTGAGAAATTTTCTTTTCCACAGACAACTGTTATTACAATTGGTTGCTTTTAAGTTGACCTGACAGAAGTTTAATGACATGTTATCCTTTTGAATACATAAAAAAACATAATACACATAAAAATAACATTATATTGTCAGTAATTTTTTATTTACCTAGTTGTTTTTGTGAACATGGAATAACAAAGAAGATGATAGTTTAAATAATAGAAAGTGATAACCATCGCCTTTAAACATGAACAGTATTATGAATACCACAAAATAAACTGTGATACCTATGATACCTCACATGCATTCTATTCCTGAGGACTAAGATGTTATAACTGTATGTTATTGAAAGGTGACCTACCTGTAGTATGGGTATCAGATGATAAGGTTTGGAGTTGGGTGAAGCTCTCTGGATGTGGCAGGCCAGCAGGCGTCCGCCTGACTTTCTCTCTTATGCTTACGCATTCTGCTCGTAATAATCTCTGCCGTTATCAAATAACATCATCACGCACATAAATCGAAGGTCCATTTTTCAATCGCCGAGGGCCGTGTGTTAAAATCGATCCTTTATATGCCTCTTTACTAATACATCATTAATTTCTTTGGCCTAGTCTTTGCTAGTGGTTCGATTTTTATTTGTAAGGCAGCTTTTTTCGTGTTTAATAAATTGTGGGCGATAGCATTGTCACTAGCTATTAACAAATGACGCACTTGGTGCACCCCTTCTGCAAAGTAAACATTGTGAAATTGTAGTGAGTTATATTAAGTATGTTATTACACTACAAAGGTCATTGTGATGTTAAAAACAAAGAATATCGTAAAATCCCATGCTCGCCCCACCGCGCTAAATGGGTCGATGGCGCCAAAACGTCACTACAGAGACAGCTAGAACTTATAGCACGTACATAGCCTCTTGGAACCTCAGCGTCAGAACATAATCTAGTAGTTATCAATCAACAAAGATCTCGCGCGGCACTTTGTTTTATCGTCGTTTTACACTGAGTCATACTCGTAACATCGAGAGGATACGATGCAATTTCACAAGAAGGCGACAGTATTACATGATGCACTTTCACTGAGGACGAATGGCGTACTTCCGCGTTGGTGTACCAAAACTATTATAGATATCAAAAAGACTTACCTGTAACAATTTGTACGGGGTTAAATTATCATGTTATATCAATATACACACACCCCACATGAAAAAAAACATGGCAGCCGTGATGAGTGAGTGAGAGTCAAAAATTATTTTATTTTGCGCAGCTCCGTCAATCGAATAGAATGACGTCCCAATAATTAACCAATAGTGTCGCTTTCGGTTTTCAAATTTCGTAAAAATGGCCGACTGCTAGCCCGTGATCATTGCATTTCAGCCCTATCATTCGTAGACATCGTCTATCTTGAAATCTATTGGCTGGTATGAAACTCTAGTAGCCAATAAAATTACGTTGTTCGGAACCGGATGTAAAAGTTTTCGCGCCAGATAAAACCGCCAATTTTAATTTTAAATGTGTAAGATGTAAATTGTGATGAACATGAATAATACAGGAGAGTTAAAGAGAATATTGAAATCATGTTAAAATTTGTATTCTTAAGAGTATTCTATTGAGGAAAACATAGTACTTATTAAAATTATTGTCTGGGTTTAACTGATAACTAAATTGTAAAACTTTGTCATTGCACTAAAATTTCATTTCGATCATACATCTTATATGAGAAAATTTCCCAATATTCCCATGTAATATGAGATACTTTTAATATTAAATATAACCACAGAGGTTATATTTAATATTAAGGATTATTATTAACGGAAGGTTGGGCGATAGTGAAATTTATGGCTTGCCTGTTAAAGTAAGTTGTGCCCATTACAAGTAAAACAACAGCAACAGAAAAATGATATGAGATTCCGCCGGTGTACCTATATATTCGTCTCATAACATCCTAGCTTGAAGGCCAGGCGATAGGTGATTGCTTTTTTTTTATTATACTTTTGGTACACATTAATTAAATCGCTCATTTATATCGAACTTTCTCGATTATCTTGTATGATCGCTTTCAGGGAATTGAAAGTTCATTTCAATAAAGGTTACCTTTCAGAAGTGAAATAAAACCATACATATTACACCATTTCTTTATTATCTGACTTAAAGTTCATTAAGTAATTTTCAATTTCTTTAAAGAAAGTAGGCAGAGTGGAATTTCTTTTTCTTTTTTTTTCACATAATAATGTATTTATTGTTTTTACATATAATACATCAGACATGCAATCTTAGACAGGTTAGGGTAAGTAGATCTGGATATCAAACTATTGTTTCGGATGGTAACTAATGTTACTTTATTTAACATATTTTAAAGATTTTTGTTTAACAACAATTCTGAGCTATTAAAAAAGGTAGTTTAGTTAGAAATGTATATAGTAAAAACTATTTCGTGTTATAATACCCCAACCGATTGTGTTTTACACAATATATTATTTGATTAATTATATACAAACATTATATTATGGTAATTAAATTAGTTTTATTATAAATATATAGTATGTATTTTCTATGGCGCCTTTTTATGGACACCCAATGGATACATAAGACCAAAATATTACATGTTAAACATGAACAATTTGTGCAATAATATACAAAGTAGACTAAAACAATAAAATAAAACTTACAACTCAAAAGTGATCACAGAAATGCATAAAATAATAAGATAGATAAATCTCTGTAATAACCATGAAGAAACCAGACAGAAAAAGTTATAATGGAAAAATAAAAGTTTGTACGACATGAACATATTACATTCAATATACTATGTAATTGTTATAAACATATTATTTAATATGATTGATTACATGTATACAAAATGCTTATTGTCATAAGGGTAATATTATATAAACAAAATAAACATCTACTTAAGAGCGTAGTGTGGGGTAAACGGGCATTTCTGTTTAGATCATCATACATGAAAATAGTTATTTTTAAATTGTATTTAAATGGCAGGATAAGATGAATTACTCATCTGCAACCCAAAACAGTATCACATATGTATAATTAAGTATTATGTACATCGAGTATCGAGAGATACCACAATGATAGACAACTTTATATTAGTAACAAATCTTAATATATTTAATAGGTGTTTTGTATACTTTTTAGGAATATATATCGATAGATTCATAGCGGAACCCGTTTTATGTCTACGCCCTCGCTACATATGGGTAAAACTCCATATAATTATGGCGTTCATATATTAAAACTGTTACAAACACTATCGCTGTCGATTTGCACCAAACCGGAGCGAAAACGTAAACATCCACCGCCATATTTACACTTTAACTAATTATAAAGCTTTGTTTCAATGACTCTCGGGCCGTTTACTGCTCTCACTGGGTTTGGTGACGATTTTGTCGCCCTTAGGGGGGATGGGTGGTTGTTCAGCGAACTTCTCTTCAGCTTTCCTCATCTCCCGCCTCCTCTGCGCCTCGCGAATCAGGTCGAATATACTCTAGAAATGTAATGGTTTTATATTAATGGTTTAATACCACACAATTATATTTTTGGACAACTATTACAGCACACTTAAATGCAAATTCAAATGCATTGTAGAGTTTGGGGACGGAAGTTACTCAGCACAGTTCCTTGTATCAATTTATAAAGGGAACCTGTCCACAATTGGATAATTAACGGTTGAAATTATGATTATGATTATATCAAAACAATTTTCTCGACTACTGAACGAAGCTCTTTTCTAGTTAAGAAAAGGCCCACTAGTACCACGATGACCGTGTTTCCACGATGCATTGTGCGTTGTTAAATTGGTTGTCTTATGATGTCTAAGGCATGAAAAAATGTTAACATTTGTTTTCTTACTCCATCTCTTATACCTGGGTAAATTTAATTCATTATTTATAATATACACTACGTAAAGTTCTTTTTAAGAACAGAAGTGGATTTGTAAGTTTGTCCATTTCATATGAAGAATCCGTAATAGAGCTGACTGTGTGACGAGATTAATATAATTATAATGACAAATAATTAGGAGTAGAATATATGTTCTCGGTACTCTCCATGCATTGCTGTTGCGAAGATGTTATGCCTACACACCCCCCACTTTCACTGTCATATTCCAGTTTTTAAAATGAAATAGAACCATGAAAAGCTACTTCATAGCATAAACATGAGTGGGACAGTCACATCCATGCAGTCTGGGCAGTCTCTAGTATGTGAGAATAATGTTTAGTTGTAATAAAACACGTTATTATTACCTTTCCATCAGATTCTGAGGATTTGTCTTGTTCCTTCGCAGCAACTGCTGCCTTGTCCAGCGCCTTCTGTATCTTGCTTTCAACTTCTAGAATCTCTTCCTTGTCCAACAGCTCAATCAGTTCCGCCATCTGCTTCTCTGATAGATTTACATTCTCGTTGCCGATAAATTCTAACATCTGTAACAATTTACATCAATGTTAAATTAAATATTTATGTTTCACAGATTATTATTATTTTTTAATTTGCAAAAGATAGTTTCTTAATTATACAATACTATCATACCTACTTGTACAACTATTACCTTAGTCTTGAAAAGATTGCTCTCAGCAATAAGACTGCCTTACTGTACTTATACTTATATTGTGTTTGTAAATTGTCTTTCTTATTTCCTATAATGTATAATGCAAATATACTCATTCATTCATGCATAAAATCATAATGACAAACTACAGATAGTGTACACTACACTACACTACACTACTGTAGTGTGTGTGATAGATACTACTACACGGCTGTAAACCTTACACTCAGTTACAATAAATTACCATATTTTTTTTATTTTACTAATAAGCGCCACACAATTACACCGATTTCATGGTTCACAAGCTATAGCGAACACAGTTTGAATTTGCATTTTATAGTATTCATCCAGAGCTATAAAAAAATTAAAAAATAAATATGAGTATATCACTGAAAACTATACACTATATTGCAGTATTTAGTCCAAAACAGAATTTGTATAATGAGTACTAGACAACAGATTTTTTTGTAAATATATTATACATTATAAATTAAGAACAATACCAAAAGAAATAATAATTAAATAAAAATGTTTGTTTTGTGTGGGTATCGAATTCACAACCATCGTGAGGTGAGTCAACCGTCTGCTACACCATGAAGGTCATGAAACAGTAGTTATTTCAAAAAGTTCATTATGTTTACAAATAAAACGTCAATGACGCTATGAGTACTTTGAACAGTACATCCATCATAAAAATGAAGTGAACCATATTTTCAGCAAATAAAGTTGAACTTCGTAAATTTAGAATGCATCCATCTTGTACATGCACTAATGAACATACCTAATTTATTATCTAGATATATAATGTCACCTGAAGTATATGATAATATGTGCATACTATATGTGTTATGTACGGACTTCAGATTTGATGGCAAAGTTTCAATGATACTGGGTAACAACCTGTTAATAACGATGTACAATATGTCATGTGCTAAAAATAATATACCTACCTAGAATATTTGCAGATGAGTGTAATATTATTATATCCATTTTAATATGATGGAGAATGATAATAAAATTAGTATTTACATAAATATGTCATAATATTTCGAGTCCGGTTTGTCGGTACGAGTTTCAATTCCCGATCTATTTAGGAAATAAATTTTTCTAATTCTCACCTAGACAAATGGCAAATTAATCTATTATTGGACACTTAAAGCTATCGCGCTCATGAGATAGAGCGAGATAGCAACGGACGGCATCTTATTCTTTCTTACACATACGCTATCAAAATCGCCTCACCTTCAAAACATCATCAATTTTCAACTGTCCGTCGAAATCGTCGTCCAACCTGCCCAGTACATCTTGTATCAACTTCAGTTTCGCTTCGTCGGGAACCTTCTGAAGGCTCTTAATGGAATGCATAAGTTCATCGATCTGGATCAGATGCTCCTTCGCTTTCTGCGGCTCCGTCTTCGTCTGTTCCAGGGTTGTCTTCAGTGCTTTCTCCTTGCTCTCCAGTTCCACTAACGCAGCGTCCAATTTACTTATCATGTTGTTTACGGCACGGTACAATCTGATTGAGAAAATTATATTTTATTTAAGATCTTACTAATCCTTTTACTAATTTTGTAAATTAAAAAATTAGTTTTTATGTTACCTTTTGCAAAATATCTTAACAGATATATGAGATAAAGAGCAAAAGTAGATCAGACAGGAAGGCATATTTATCCAAGTACTAACAATCTGCAATGGAATTCTAATCCAATGGAGTATTTTTGGATTATTTTGTATGACACTTTTTTTCATTCTTTTTATCTTTTTTTTTTTTTTGCAATTTTATTTCATTCTAAGAATGGCAAACAAGCTAACGGCCCACCTGATGGATAGCGGTAACCGTCGCCTATAGACTTAAATAGCTTTACGGATATCACAAAATACTATATTATACCCATGGTACCCCTCATGCGTTACCCTTCCTGAGGACTAGAACGAAGGTGCCGGCTAGTAAAATATCACTCACCTGCGAGCACCTTTAGTCAACTTAATGTCTGCCTGCTTCGTTTTGACAATCTCCTGCATCTCCTTCACATCTTCACTGTACTCTGATAGCTCCTCCTTGAGCTCCTGGATACTCTCTTTCTCTAGCAGCAGAGACCTCTTTTGTTCAGCTGGAAATTTAATAAACATTTTTTTTATACACGCTCTAAAGTTTTTTTTATTAACTGGAATATTCTAAGATGTAAAATACAAATCTATATTGGGCTGGCAGTATCTTGCTGGAGATTCAATAAACGCACCAGCACTCACTCTGTGGTAGACCAGACCATAAAACCTAAATACCTCAAAGTCTTAGCTCAAAATATATGTCATATCGCCGTGTAGTTCCGACATAGAAGCCACTCTCTTCCTTTGCCATTGGTGTGGTAGGAGATGACTAAGGGAACTAAATGGTCGAGGGATAGGCAGCAGCATCCCTCTTAAAACATCACCAAAGCCTAACTGCCAACCCGCCTGCCAAGCGTGGCAACTATTAGCAAAACCCCGTAAAAGGCGTTACATGTTAACTTGGGATAACGTTTTATCTATATAGTATCCTTTTAATCGGTCCAGATTGCAATCTACTGACTGGCAGGGGTCGCGACGTGCACGCTCTGAACCATGGCCCCCATAATTCTAGGTACTGTATAGCACATAATACCTACATAAAAACAAATTATTTTTGTTTATTTCTTTAAACAAAATATTATTGTTGTACTTTCATTATTTATTAAATGTGGATAATGTAAAACAATATCTATATATTGGCTCAATAAAGGATATATTCGATTTCGGTAATCTAATATATAATATTGAACCCGATCAAAATAAATATATGGATATCCGACTATTACGGGCATTATCGATATGAGTGATAAACTTCTTCCGCCATCAATATCTAAAAAAACCAAATACATAGATATCGAATTGACATCGATATTACCCGTGCCTAATTATGTTACTATTAATATTAAAAATATCTTATAGCAAAGGTCCAATTAGTGCTAAACAGTGTTAATGTAAAGACTTGATGGGAATCGAGAAAATCCTATAATATTATAGAATAGTATAGAAAAGATTTCCAATAGTTTTCTTTCAAAGATAATGGCTGTAAAATTCCTTATCTAACCTTGACTCGAACGTTGCGTGGATACCGATGGAGGTCAGAAAACGCGCGATTATTGATAAGCAGTTATTTATTAACTAGTGAATTTTAATATTAATATTTATTAGTAATTTTGATAATTATCCTATTATTATCAAAATTGGAACACTTATTTTAATAAAATAGTAATTAATGTCTGTTTGTTACTTGATTATAAGATCTGCTGTGTTCAGTTTCGAACAAATTTTATATATGTTTGAGTAAGTCCAACTTAAAGGCTGGTATATGTTTTATCTGTATCGGTCGAGCGATTTGTATGATACAGTTCGACCCTTCAATTGTAAGAAATCGCAAAGAATACAAAGGTCTTAGTTATTTGTTTTTTTAATAGTATACAGCACAAATAGGCGACCGTGCCGTACGTCTAGCGAATCTTCATTTTCATATTACTTGGACATGTTTATTAATTATATAATAAATTCTATTTAAAAAAAATCATTGTATAGTATTAATATGAAAGAATTATATTTATGTACATACTATATTTATATTTAGCTAGTATTATATTTTACAACATAACTAAATTTCACAATATATAAAGCGGAAGTTTGATTGTTTGTTTGAACGCGCTAATCTCCGTAACTACTAGTTGGATTTGAAAAATTCTTTTTGCATTTAATAGCTCATTTCTTGTAGAAGGTTACATATATGCTATTCGACATCACGATATGTCTACGAGCGAAGCCGCTGGATATAACTAGTCAGATGTAAATTAATAGTAACCGATGTTAGATTTATATATGTCCGGAAAATTTTGAAATAATAGAACCTAGTTAAATAATTCATTCACGCCACAATAATACCATATGATGAATCATCGTGTATACAGATGTAGTATGATAATATGATGAAATAAAGTAAGTACCTACCAACCAAACACGGTGCCTACAATTTTAAAGGTTGCGACCGACCCTGGTGGTCTACCATGAAATGAAATTCCGAAATTTCGGGCACACATTCGTTTTTTTTGTTCGTATCAAAATCGACCCAGTGAATGGAGCTTAACATTTCGTTCATCATAAATCCTATTCTAATAGTCCAAAGGAACGATAGTTTAACATTTTTAATAATTTTAAATAGCATGTATTATGTAATTTTAACATCAAATTTCTGTTTCGTTCGTCCCCGAAATTTTGGAAAATACTTTATACCATAAAGTATTTTCCAAAATTTCGGGCCCTCTGGCTTTGCTCGGGTGTAATTTATTACGAAACATTGAATTTATCTACTAATACAAAAGCAGAGTTTAAAAGTAAGCGGAGAAACAAACAGACGTGGTTAGTAACTTTGTTGTAAACTACATATTTTGAAAATAGAATACATTCCACTGAATATGTATTTCATTGTAACCGCATAAAAATAGCAAAATAAATCAGATTGCAGAATTTACAATGAGATTTGAACATTTAACTCGCGTATTCGGTATGCTGTAAAGTTACCTAATAATAGGTGTGACAGTCCTCGTAAAATTATCTTTAGCTAAAGACAACTGATAAGTGGTGAATCATAAATTAAGATAGAAGCAGATTTTTAATAAAATGTACACTTAAACTACATATGATCTACTCTATTAATGCCATAATAGTGTATTCTGAAATGTTCTCGGTGCAGTTCACGTTTATAGGCGACGATTACCATTTTCTATCACACGGGCCATCAGTATAACGAAACGCCATACCAATCAAGAACTATATTTTTATAGGGTAATTCCACAATAATTTTTACTTATACTTACATCGATGTTACATTTTTACTACAATCAGCTTGTTTGTTGTTCTAAACATAATTAAAAAAAAACTATTTTTTTTTTCATAATAATTTTATAAAAAAGAATTAATATAGCTGATAATATACCAATGGCGAATGTAAATTAACAGAGAACAGAAGTAGCGGATGGAATATATGAATGATGGAAAAATAATAAGGAATTCGCGTCGCATAGTTAATACGCGACGCACATTTGTTATGGCAGATCGCCTATAAACACGAGAAGCATACACGCTAGCACCATATTGCGATTAATTTAGGACAGCTTTCTTTGTTCATTAACAAAAAGTATCTATTTGATTTTATTATTAAGGATTCTAAAATGGATAAATATTTTTTATAGAGATAGGTAATTTCTTAAATACTGGGTAGTTAAATTATACAAGTCTTCCTGTATTATCGTCATTGATATTAAAAAAAAAAAACTAATGATTAATTAATTTCTATGTTTAATTAATATGTTTTTATGTTTATTTATTATAAATTGTTATCTTTCATAATATTTATTTAATTTACAATTTTTTTTTAAATCTTTGCACCGCCATTTACTCTCTCTATTTAGCGTAACGGTTGACTGGTAGAGAATGCCATTAGGCATTAAATCCGCCCTGTAGACATTTTCTAATGTGTGGAAAAGTATAAATAAATAAATAAATTAATTGAGACCTTTTTTTACTAAGAGAATAAATACATAAACCATAGATAAACGTGAAAAAAAAAAAATAGTCGTATGTTTAATTGTATAATTGTAACGTATAATTAGGAATGTGAGCGGCGTCACAGTTTACGATTATTACAGTATATAATAAATACAAGGCGTGTAATCGGAGTTAAGAAAGGTGAGTGAGGTGATCGCGTTACGTGCGATGTCTTTCCCAGTTATTTGTGTTCACATGGCCGAAAATTCAAGGGCATATGCTTTCCAAGATTTAGCTTTTTTTTATACATTTTCAATAGCTCCCATTAATACCACATGCAGCCATGGTGTCAAGGGGAAGAAAGGGTTGTTAGTAATTAGGATTAATAACCCCATTGCTTGCAATATAATTTATCAGTTCGACCTCCACACGGTTCCCTCTGGAAAACATCGTGATTGATTTGTTTTTAAATTTGTCACGATGGGCAGACTGACCTGCCTATTGTTACCTATCATCCTTCACTGGTGACCCGTCTGTGTATACAGTATATACCGACAGAGCAGATGGGGTTACCATTCTATTATCATACATTAAAAAAGTCATGGTGTAAAATAAAGAAGTAAACTAAAGTAATATTGAAAACAATATTGACTTTTAGATATCATATTATCAGTATTTTAATAGATATGTTTATTGGATAATGTAATCATATTGGCGGAACTAAACAACATAACATGAGATAACGAGATAAATATCCAATGAGAGAAATAATTACTCTCTCTACTAAGAAAAAAAAAATATAACGGACAATTATTAACGGTCACAAAAGTACAATGACCCTGAATAATTTCTTTAAAGATAGTATACAAGTCATTAGCACTGCCAAATTGTTGTGAACTTGAACTTCCTGCAAAAATATGGATTAGCGCCAACTTACCTAATTTCTCTAAAGCATCTTCAATGACTTCAATGTCTTTGCCAGATAGGCCTTCTTCAGTCTTCTTCGGTGTATCTACATTTACTACAGGAGCTGTGTCGACTATAACTGGAGTTGCTTCAGGGTCAACAATAGGAGCTTTGTCTTTGAGTTCTTCTTTTTCTCTCTTCTTTGCCTCCAATATCTCTTTTTCTCTTTCTGCCTCCTGCAACTCTTGTTTCTCTTCTTTGATCTTTGCCTCTTCCAGCTTGATAGCTTCAGCTTTCACCTATAATACAGTTATATGATAAAAAAATTTTGTTGGTAAAAAAAATATAATGGATCATAGTTTCTTATTACTATACTTACCTTAAAATCAAGTTTACCCTCTTTCTCTCCAATAGCAGCTTTAGTTTGAGTAGCTACTTGTTCAGGTAAAGCAGAAATTGTTGCCTTCAACTTGTATGTTGTAGGCACATGTTCTGGAACCATCAAGGCTCGAGACAAGAGAAGTAAAGACGGTGGTACTTTCTCATTTAAAGACAAATCTAACCAGTTCCTCAATTCTTTTCTTAATCGCTCTTCCGAAACACCATACGCTCTCATACCACGAGCTCTACAAGCTTGTTGCAACTCACTGAAATTTAAGCTATCCACACCTTCTTTTGCAATCATCTTGTCATCAGCTGCTAATGATCGCAGCTTCATCTTAAGGTTGAACCGTAACATTGCACTAGTACCTATTGTAGAGACATTCAACACCTTGCAAAGGGCTACTAAATGTGGACGTTGTAAAGAATCTAAGGTTATTTCATCCTCAAATAATTTTGAGAATTTCATAATCTCTTCACTGGTAGCAACATCACCTGATGTTCTTATTCTATTGAAGAAACTAGAGAACTCTTTAGCAAGTTCTGAATGTCGATTTTTAGCCTGTGGTGCCATTTGGTCGAGAGTTTCTTGGAAAAATTTTGCCATTTCCAGTTTCACTTTCAAATGTTGTTTCAGTTTAGCTTCCTTCTGACTAGTGCTCTCAAATGTGGACGGTAACATACTAGGGAAAAGTTTAATGAACAATGGTAAAGCAAATTCTAAAAATGGTACTACAATGAAAACAATAAAAGGTACCATACGGAAGAGATCACCTATTGTTGTCACTAAAAGTCTGTGTTCCCTTCGAGTCAGAGACTCTCCTTTTAATATACGGAACAATAATGATGTTGATATTCGAACTTCAATGAACAGTAACCTGAAACCATGATAGTAATGACGTAATTCATCCATAATGCGCTCTTTAACACTTTTCTTTTTTTCTTCCTTTTTAGGCAGTTTCTCCTTTTCTTCTATGCCTTTCTTTATAGTCTCTACTGTGGCCTCTACTTTGGAGGATGGTTTTAAGGGTTCCTTGTCATAATAATAACTGCTTGTTGATATAGGCCTGATATAAGGAAGGTAACAATGGACTCTTGTATTAAGAGGCTTCTGTGTGACATCATGATGCAATCCAACTAGTTGAGTTGTGTAATATGACAGAGATCTTGAAAGTGTGACATATGGAAAATTTTGATACTGTCTGGTCTCCCATAATAAAGCTAAAACATGAAAAAAGTTGGTGTAATACACTTATCTTGGTATAGGTTAGGTACATTAATAGATTATACATGAAAAGCATTTGAGATAAATTTATTGCAATGTAAATAATATCATTTATAATAATAGTGTGCATAACAATGTTGTATGAATAAAAAATAGTAAGTAAATACATTTTGAACATATTTTATAACAACTGCTTGAATAACAAAAAATACATATTATTTTAAACAGAAGGAAAAAAACTGTTGGAATTGAATAAACCATAAAATCTTCCTAGAGCTCTAAAAGCTCTTCTCCCCTATATATTTTAAGTCGGCGGAATATCTCACAATATACATCAACAATGTATTAGGGTAGTATTGCCGGAAAACGGTAAATTAACGATATAATTTATTCATGTACTATTATGTACACAAAGAAACAATTAAATCATATTGTAAAATGAATAAAAGAAAATATATGCAACTACTTCCTTTTTAATTGATTTAATTAAGTTGTTAAAATATTATATAAACGATTTTTAATATAATATTCAGTCCAACCTTAATTTATCTCAGCGATAGGTTAAGCATTGAAGACATGACAACAATAGATAATAATGCAAACTTACTCGATTTTTTTAAGCACCGACTATTATTCAATATTATTCTGTTCATTTTTTTATTTTTAAGAGTGCTTTGTAATAATATAAATATGAAAAATGTAACAAAAACAAAATCAACCTTTAGACAACCATGACAGTCGAGAAGAAATCATCATGGTTTCCACAGACTTACGCAGGTCTTTATAATAAAACAGATAATAAAAAGTTAGACGTGGCTGTGCTAATCAGTGTCAATTCGCAACTCAAACATTTTGGAATAGATTAGACGGCACCCAAAAATCTATATAATGTGTTTCTCATTAAATTAAATATTTATTATAATAATATGTTAAGCAAAGCTATTCCAAAGACGTGTTCAATTAATATTATATTAGCTTAATAAGATTCATGTCTATTAATATCTTGATGTAAGTTAATATTTTGGTCAATATATATTGAGAGACGAAAATAGAGGGATGATTTTAAATGCATTATAGGGAGTCAACGAATGCAAGTGGCTCAGACCGTTCCTAATGACAATCTATGGGAGAAGCCTATTTTCAGCAGTGGACAGAACGGCTGAGATAATGATAATGATGATATCATTTTCTTAATTAAAACAACGAATATTACATTTCTTATATAATACAAAATATTATAAATAAGTAGTATATTTAATGAGATTATTATTAAATTCACATAATATTTTTACATAATATGTTCCGTTGTTATAAGGCCAGTGTCAACTGTTATACCGTAGTGATTATCACAGATTAGAGAGACTATGTCTAAAGAACTATTACTTGCTCTGTGGTTATTAGTAATATCTTCTGTAGTCTTGTTCTTGGTTTGTTTTTTTTTTTATATTGAATTTTTTCTAATTGCTCCTGCACGAGGAAGTTTTACATTTATAAATCAATAGTGGGTATAATTATAATCATAAATGAATTTATTTCGCCAATATTTATTTTCATCTATTAGTGTTTTACAGAAATCTTTACGCTATAATTCAAGTGAGTGTGCATGTGTATAATTTCAGTAATTTGTTTATATTCTTCTAAAAGTATATGTAATTTCTTTTAAATCTACTAAGATTTCTGTTTTGGCTAGAAGTGTCAGTCCCGCTATAGCTTTGAATTCAAAGAAAATTATTCAACATTACTTTATCTCATGAAAATCGATGTCTATCTTTTCATGTGAGTAAATGTTGATCTTTAAAAAGATAAAAGAAAATTGTAGTGAAATGCATAAATTAAAGAAAATAAACACAGAAAATGAAAGAATTATAATTATTACCAGAGGGAGACTTAGTACAAAAGTTGTTTGGTTGGTAACCTCTGTTTTATTTTTAATGGATGAAATGGCCTCGCCTGCGCTAATGGTATACGCTGGCGGTGCACAAGTGATAGGTTTGATAGGTGAGATTGAAAAGACAGGATTTTTTTATTTTTTTTTAATGGGTTTATATGAAATGGTAACCTCACCCGCGCTATCGGTATACACTGACAAGGTACCACTGGAAGATGATAGATGAGAATGAATGCAGATCAGTTGGCGCAATACACTCTGTTATATCCATGATACTGCTCATGTTTATAGGCGACGGTTACTACTTTCTATCAGGTGGGACTTCAGCTTGATTGCCATTCTAAGTTGTAGAAAAAGAAATATAATAGGAGTATTTTATATAAATTTTTCATATATGACAACTATATATTTAGGAACTCATATTTCTTTGCAGATAACTGTCAACTTGAAATATGAGAGCTAGCACTGTTGTAAAAATATATGTCACACTGTACTGTCACTGTTTTCTTTTTAACTTTTTATAAATGTGTATTTGTTATTAGTCTTTTTACTGGTTATAATTGGTATATTTTTGTTTTAGATTTAAATCCACTTTTAAATATGGCAAAAAGTGAAGCCAAGAGGATTGTATGGGTGGATTTAGAGATGACGGGTCTTGATATTGATAAAGACCACATCCTTGAGATAGCGTGCTTAGTAACTGATGGTGATCTTAATGTCGTAGCAACTGGCCCTAACATAGTAGTTCATCAGCCTGATAATATCCTAGCGAACATGAACTCCTGGTGTGTGGCCCAACATGGTGAGGTATTGAGTAATTATTGCACACAATAAATTTTTTCATTTTATTAGAAAAAATATATAGAAATTTTTAAGTAATATTATAAAATTATAAGTGAGTTTGTATATTATTTGTATGGTATCTGTCAATGAAATTACATGGTTAGCCTTAGTCAATGGGCATGGGGGAATATAGATAATGTATTGATAATTTTACATAAATTATATGTCAACATTAATAATTACATTAATTATATTAAAAAAAAATCAGACACAGTTATTTTTAACTAATGTGGCTGTTATCATACACTACCCTACAATTGTAATTTTTTATGGTTCCAATAAATACATTTTTTTTTTTTTTTAATTAAAAACATTTTATTATTTTGCTGTCTATGGTGTTCATGGTCCATGTGTCATTGGGCCCATTTTTTCTTTTTTTTATTTATACTATAAAAGTAGCAAATGACCATTAACTTTTTGTCATTTACAATTATAGAAAAGTCATTCTATGATTACGAATGACTTATAAAATTATATTACATTTGTTTTTGAATTCTATTTCAGAGTGGATTGACGGAGGCTAGTAGAAACTCTAAAGTGTCTATTCAAGATGCCGAGAAGAAAGTACTAGAGTTTGTCCGAAGACATGCACCTGAAAAGAAATGTCCCATGGGTGGGAACAGTGTCTATATGGATCGTTTGTTTATCAGAAAATATATGCCCAAACTCGATAGTTATTTACATTACAGAATAATAGACGTGAGCACTCTCAAAGAATTAGCTAAACGTTGGTACAAAAAGGAGTATGCAGATTTGCCACAAAAAAAGTTCAGGCATCGATCAATAGATGATATTCTTGAAAGTATACAAGAGCTCAAATATTACAAAGAGACTATATTTAAGTCCTTGTAATTATTTATAGACATTTCCTTTTGTACTTTCATTTTCAACTGTCTTCAAAAAGGAGACTCTCGATTCAATTGTAGTATGTATTTGTAAGGCACAATCCCTTGGTCCAGGATGACATCTGCAGACTAACTTTTTTATAAATTACCCACCTTAGTATATAATACATTATAAATGCGTTTGCTATAAACTGATTTAGAAAATTTTTATCAGAAAGAATTTTTTTTATACAACTTAGAATGGCAAACAAGCTAACGGCCCACCTGATGGAAAGTGGTAACTGTCGCCTATAGACATGAGCAGTACCATGGACATAACAGACTATACTGTTTCGCCCATGATACCCCCCCATGCATTGCCAATCCTGAGGACTCAGGTGTTATTCCTTTGTACCCAGTAAATGCACGCCTTATCCCACCCTTCAAACCGAAACACAGCCATGCAAACACAACTGCTTCACGGTTGAAACACGAATGGGATAGAGATACCCAAGCAATCGACTTTTGTACAAAGTCTCCCTCTGGTAGACTCTGGTAGTAGAAAGAATATACTTACTCACAAACTTTATTTTACTGGTGCCAGAATTGAAGTCCGTTTGTTTGGAATACAATTTTAAATTATCTATCAAACTATGAATTTAGTGTGGAAAAGGATGAGATAATCAATAACAATAATTAAAAAATAATTAGAATTAATAACTTTACTACACACAATTGCGTTGTACTTTGAACTTTTACCATGAAATTGTGTTTAGCGTTTTAAGAATAAACGGGTAAATATTGTAAATATGAATAATAAAAGTATAGTCATATGAAATAATAGGATCTAACAGCTAGTTCCCTCTGCCTACTAGGCGAGAATATGTAATTTTTTTAATAATAAAAAATTTTTAATATACATACATTCTTTCGGGACATATTGGAGGTCGTTAATCCTTATTTAGAGTAAATTTATATTGCTTCTCTGGTTTATGGAAATCAAATATATAAGAAAATAGTTACGAATTTTGTCAAATAATAAGGTACTGATATCTAATATTCCTGATCTTGGGCGGGAGGGGGGTTGTTAATAATGCGCACTACCAGTCTCATTGTTAGCAATATGCCCAAAAAGATCGACCTCCACGTGGTCCCCCTTGGAAACCATCGTACTGAATTCCAAGTGAATTCATCACGATGGGCTAATCGACCTGCTTTTTCATTCTCATCTATCATCTCTCACTGGTGCCCCGCCAGTGTATACCGATAGCGCAGGCGGGGTTACCATTCCATTATCATTCATTAAAGAAAATATTACTGATCAAATTTAAATAAATTTTATATAATGAATTTTTTAAACATGTAGTTAATATAATAGTGATCATAGGATAGAACTTTTGGTAGCTGTTCATTTGCTTGAAAATTGTAGTGTATGGTCAGTATGATCAAAAACTCATTACTTATATCATGTTGCTATGTGTATCTAGAAAAATAGAATAATTTTGTAAACAGTAAGTAGTTAAATGTCTTAATAATAAAATTGTCTGTGTCACACTTTTTTTCCTCATAATGTTCCAATACCTCTACATGTATACTTAACTCTTAAAAGCCTGATTTTTTAAATCAAATTAAATAATTTATAAGTGTACCCTTTACTGTATTTACTAATGGGGAAAAATAGTAAAAAAATCAAAACGATACTTTTATATATTTATTTTGAAAAAACATTTGGTAACATGTAAACAGCCAAATATTAAAATAAAATCGATTGTAGGCGCCCAATGCGATTTATAACCCCGGTATCAAATTTGAAACTTCAGGTATTTAAGAATTAATTCTACTATTATTGTAAATATGAAAGTTTATAAAGATGTTTGGGTTTGTTACTAGATCATGATTGACAGCTGAATGAATTCGATTGAAATTTGGTACACAGGTAGGTTATGTCTTAATACATAGGATACTTTGTGTACTGATTCACGTGCCCACCGCAACATTGTTCGGTGTCCACTCTCGAATCCAAGCGAAGGTTCCCAAAGACTTGCTAATTCGGGATATCATCATCATCATCCATATCAACTGTTATCTGTCCACTGATGAACATGAAACAGGCTTCCCCCATAGACTGCCATAAGGAACGGGGCCGTTGCTTATGACAGTTGTAAATTCGGGGGCAGGTTGGTCACTGCAGTTTGGTTTTTGGTGATGTTTAAAGAGGGACGCTTCTGCCCATCCTTCGCCCTCCCTTAGTCGCCTCTTACAACACCTACGGGAAAGGAAGGGACGGTCCATTCTATGCCGGGACCACACGGCATATTATCTATAATTCGGGATATGCAGTTAGGTATTTAATTAGAGTCGATAGTGTTCAAAGAGATACGTTTGTTTTTCCACCGTGTTTCAAAGCACTTTCTTCCACGCACAACCACTCTTTGGACTCAAATTCCAGCAGCAGTAATTCCGAACTGATACGACATTATAACCTTCAAGAAAAGAGTACATTCCTTTTTAAATGGCACCTGCAATACCTTTGGTGTTGTGGGTGATTATGGGCGGCGGTAGTCACTTACCATCAGGTGAGCTCGTTTGCCCCGTGTTAAAAAAAGTTACGTGCACATATAGAAATTTCATATTATCTATAAGAGAAATAGCCCCGTATTCTCTTTAGTAACGGGTTTCCTACGTGCCATCAGCCAGACGGGCGGGTTCATTCAACTCTAATAGCATTACAAAGTTGAGACACCGAAAGACTACAGAGTAATAAAACTATGTTATTCGCAAAATAAGTTTGTCCAAAACTTTACTCTTACGTTCTGTTCTATCAACGTTAATAAACTATTTACTAACTCACTAAACTACATTCTAATTTGACGTTTATCTAAACTACAACTTAGTTTAAAAATGAGTTTGTTTGTATGTTAGCTTATAGAGCTTTAATGGCTTAACCAATAATGAAATTTGGTATACACGTACTATATAGCATGGAGAAGGTATAGGCTGCTTTTTATCCCGGTCAGTAAAAATATCCCGGTCACGCGGACGAAGTCGCGGGTAAGCTAGTATGTTTATACTGGATACCACTTATTGCGTATTTCGTGGATTTTGTAAATAGGTAGTCATTACTAGATGTCAAGATAAAATATCATCATATCAGCCTTTAACTGTCTATTGTTGAAAATAAGCCTCCCCTTGGAGGGGGGGGGGATTGCCAGTAGTTGCCACGTTTGGCAGGCGGATTGGCAACCGCAGTTAGGCTTTAGAAATGTTTTAAGAGGGACACTGCTTCCTATACCTCGCTCTCATTTAGTCAGATCTTATGACACCCATAGGATAGGAAGGGGTGGCCTATTCTATGCTGGGACCACACAGTTAAAGATAAAATATACACCAGATAAATTAAGTTAAACTTTCAGAAATAAATGTGAAAACCGCATTCAATTTGGTGTGGTAGTTTTTATATGATGCTAGAATTAGCGTAGATAGACACAAAATTCGAATTATAAAAATAAAAAAAGATTAAAAGTGTTACATTAATGATATCATCGATGAATATTATGAAAAGAATGTGCAGTAAACTAAAAATACATTTTTATATAGATTTTTTATGGATAAAAATGAAATTATAACCCTGCCTACGATGTCGACATAGGTACGCTGGCGGGGTATTAGTGAGTGTTGTTAGTTGAGGATGAAATACACTATTTTGATAAATACAATAAGAATTAATCACGATGATTTTCAGTGGAAACCGCGTGGAGGTCGACCTGACAATGGGGTTTGACGTCCTTGTTACTACTAAAATCCCTCTGAGCTCACTAGGGTATAGCTGTCACTGTATATTTTAATACGTTTTTTAAATAATTGCGTAGCAACCGAATTACGGAGCTGATTAGTTGATTTTGACAGGAAGGAAAAGTCTATTTAAAGGAAAAAAAATTAACGATCATAAAATATATATTTCTTTAGCCAACAAAAACAGACGTCCGTTTCTATTTATTTACTTTGAAATAATAGAAATATCCATAGGTATCAAAAGTCTGCACAAAATTAATTAAGTGTAGACAGATATGAGTCTAAGGTAACCGAATTTGACTGTAAGATTGTAAACTGTTGTAATTTAAAAAAAAAAAAAAAAACAAGTTTTTATTACCTGGGTCTTCGTTCACGCGAACTCTACTCCAAATAGTATACGTATACCAAATTTCATGACGATTGCATCAACTATTTTTTTTGTTGATGATAATGGAATGGTAACCCCGCCTACGCTAACGGTATACGTTGGCGTGGCACCAGTGAGGGATGATAGGCGAGAATAAAAAGACAGGTCAGTTAGCCTATCGTCATCATTTGTTCCAGGTCAAGCCAGCAATATACCCTATCAGGTTGACCTCTACAAACCCCCCTGGAAACCATCGTGCTGAATTTTAGGTGTATTCATCACGATGGGCTAACTGACCTGCCCTTTCATCTCACCTATCATCCCTCACTGGTGTCCCGCCAGTATATATCGTTAGAGGAGTTACCAGTCCATTGTTATTCTTTTAAAAAAAAGGGAGTATATTATGTAGATATACATTTACATAATTAAAAGGTTCATAATATAAGTGACAGAAGTCTTTGAAGGGCGTACGAGCGGAAACAACTTGACGACTGAAATATAAATGAAGTGTCTGAGATTGGGAAGGTCATGAACGGAGCGTAGGTATCTTCTTGTAGTGCTTACAGGTGGCATAAAAGACGTTGTTGGGACAATCAGTGGGACAATAAAATGGGACTAGTGGATTTAAATATATTTTTACCGGCGATCCGGCCCGGCTTCGAACGGGTACATAAAATTTTCGAAAATAATAGCCTATGTTACTCGCCGATAATATAGCTTTCTATAAGTGAAAGAATTTTTAAAATCTGTTCAGTAGTTTTTGAGGTTATCCGTTAGAAACAAACTTCAAAACTTTCCTCTTTATAAAATAGATAATAGATGAAAATAGAAAGGTATACTATTTTTTTTTTCAATTTAAATTCTTGGAATTCCAAACTGTTTTTGCTAACGGGTTACAAAAACAGCCTGGAACTGAGTTCTGTGGAGTGATAGTCCGGAATGTGTCTTTGGCTAAATTAGTTTTTATTGCCGACGTTGTTAACTTCGCCTACTATTGGTTTAGGTACGCTAGAGGAGTGGATGAACATGAAATTAGCGGGGTGACTATGTATCGGATCTAATAAACTTCAAATCGACGTTATCTTTTATTTGATATTTATTCGTTGATATTTCGATTTCGTTGATTTCGACGGTCTATCGTGATGAATTTACATTTGTAAGGAAAGTGCGTATTTTTTTAAGTTTAGTGCCTAATTAATATTAGTTGCATTGAGAGATAACGATAATATTATCCATACGTTAATGTAGATTGCGAGATGTTGATTCCTCATTGTTTCCTAAATGTGTCAAAAATACAAAAAACTTATTTTATGGCGTTTTTAAATTGAAAATGTAATAGTAAAGGTGTCATACTTAGCTTCTATGTATCTAAATTTTTGAATTATTGTTTTTATTTTAATTTTTTATTCGTATGAATGTAAATAATTGTTCTTCTAGTCTTTAACTTCGCTATATGTCTATCTATAGCGCTTTGTATATAGTGGTGTTTTTGAAGGTCCAATTTAAAAGGAGTCCACCCTTATTTCTTGGATGCATGACATATTTCTACTGTCCGTGCATCCCGTTCATTTTTACCTCGTACATTTAGGTTGTAGAATGAGCTCCAGTGTTTAGTTTTTCCTTTACAATATAATGAAGGGAATTTCAAAAAACATGCATACAAATATTTAAAAGGACGAAAACGCACAAGCAACTCCTTTACATCAGTTTTCCATCAGGTGGAACGATTACTCGTTTGCCTCACTATCAATAAAAAAAATCTGAGATATGTTTTATCTTGATAGACCACCTAGAAGTGGTCCTTCATTTTTCCTAATTCTGAAATCCACACATACGAAATAGCGGGCAAAAAGGTAATATAATTTTTTTTTATACAACTTAGAATGGCAAACAAGCTGACGGCCCATCTGACGGAAAGTGGTAACCGTCGTCTATAGACATGAGCGGTACCATGGACATAACAGAGTATACTGTTTCGTCCATGATACTTCCCATGCGTTGCCATTTCTGAGGACTCAGGTGTTATTCCTCTGTACCCTGTAAATTCACACCATATCCCACCCTTCAAACCGAAACACAGCCATGCAAACACAACTGCTTCACGGTAGAAACACGAATGGGACAGAGGTACCCAAGCAATCGACTTTTGTACAAAGTTTTTTTTAGTCTTGTAGTTTTCTAGTCTATCTGTAGAAAAGTAGTAGATGGGAAATAATTGTTGTTTAAAATACTAGGGCGTCCCGCATCAATAAAATTAACCAACGTAACAACACTAGCAATGGCTCTTATATTTAGAAGCTGGGGTTTATTGCAATATTCCCACGATTCCATTTATTAACCTGTTGGCACAAAGCCATAGATTAAATAATTTATTGCCAGGAAGATGTCACGAA